AAATCAGTTTTTCTTTTAAGCACTGATTCCAGCTCCAGGTTTTTAAATTATTATATTTATATTTTAAATCATAATCCAAATCATCAAAATAACTTCACTTAGAAATCCGAAAATTGAGCAACTACAAGGTTCTATTTATTTGAGGTTTTGCTTGTATGTATTTAAGGAAAACTATTTAAAATATCTGGATTTTGAATTTTCTGATTAAAATCAAGGACAAGAATTGCTTCTTCTGAACTTGCCTTTCATTCAAGGTACTCTCTGCAGCTACGAAAGCTAGAAAACTGAGATTCTTATTGAGTCATGTGGCTTTAGGAAATGATGTTCAACATCTTTGTTGGTGACATGGACATGGAGGGATTGAGTGCACCCTCAGCAAGTTTGATGATGACACCAAGCTGTGTGGTTCGGTTGATACGCTGGAGGGAAGGGATGCCATCCAGAGGGACCTTGACACGCTTGTGAGGTGGGCTGATGCCAGCCTGATGAAGTTTAACCATGCCAAGTGCAAGGTCCTACACCTGGGTTGGAGCAATCCCAGGCACAGCTACAGGTTGGGCAGAGAAGAGATTCAGAGCAGCCCTGCGGAGAAGGACTTGGGGGTGCTGGTCGATGAGAAAACGAACATGAGCCAGCTTCAGTGTGCGCTTGCAGCCCAGAAAGCCAACCATATCCTGGGCTGCATCAAAAGGAGCGTGACCAGCAGGTCGAAGGAGGTGATCCTGCCCCTCTACTCTGCTCTCGTGAGACCTCACCTGGAGTATTGTGTGCAGTTCTGGTGTCCTCAACATAAAAACAACATTTTAGTGTGAGGTGTCCCTGCTCATGGCAAGGGGGTTGGAACTATTCTATGTAGAAAAAAAGTCCTCATGTCTTGATGTTATTTCTCTAGAAGCAGCTTTCTTTTCTTATTAAACTGAAACCATGAGGAAAAGAACTTCCAGATTTTTTATAAAATCATAGAATGATAGAATAGTTAGGGTTGGAAAGGACCTTAAGATCATCTAGTTCCAACCTCCCTGCCATGGGCAAGGACACCTCACATATTTTTTAATTACTTGGGGACGGGAGAAGGGAAACTAGAACTCTCTTTAGAGCCCCTGCCTTCAAAATCAAGAAGGCATAGAAGTTATTTTAAACCTATAAACTCAGTCAGTTACAGTTTGTTACATAACAAAGTTACTGTGTGATATACTACAGAATTTATTTAATATGAAGTACTTACTTTTCAAGAAGACTCTTGTGAATGATGGCACTATATTTTAACTAGGGCTTTATTCTGCTTAGCTTGTTACAGTTTGAAATTAACTTGATTAGGCTAAGAAGAAAAAAAATGTCTGAATAAGCATATATCTAAGTTATTTGGAAATACTGACTTCATTTTCAGTCTGCATCCTGTCTTCACATTAATCAGCTTTCTGGTGCAGAGAAACTAGCAATTGAACTGTGCAGATCTGTGGCTCTTCTTAATCTATTTTCAAAAGTATTCTATAAAACTGTACACTCTATTTATTTTGGAGCAAGTGTACAGGAACACAGGGCCTTTAAAACTAGGAAGCAAGACTGAGTTGACAAGGCAAGAGGGACTGATTTAAATCCACCCCCTATGAGCACACCTCAGCTCAGGTGGCACTCCTCAAAGCTTTTCATCTGTTGTTGTAGTTTGTAATGTACAAGAAAATCAGAGGAGTTTTGAGTAAGTTCGGATGAGACCATGGCTGGTTTTCAAGGCTTTGCTTTAGAACAGTTTCTGATTCTGGGTGAACTTTTTTTAGACAAAATCCTTGATTATAGTCACACGATCCCAACGATTGAGCTCACTACTACTGAGTTACTTCTCATTAGCTGAGCTATTGTCTGACTTAAGATAGTGCCTTCTACTTTGTGATTAACATGTGCAAAATTGTATACCTGGTTAATTAGTATATGTATATTATAAGCAGCAACACATTAGTCCCTCGTAATTTAATTGCTTTCACTTCTGCATTCCCATGCTTACTTTGGTAAATAATTTTATTGATTAAGGGGTGGGATTAGGGTTGGGCTTTTGTTACACAATATCCTTCTCATGAATATTGCACATCATATTTTGCTATCATTTCTTTGTTCCTGAATTCCCTCATTATTTCTGGACTACAGTAAAATAGAACTAAAAACTCCAAGGACATACATAAAAAAAATAAAATAAAAAATCCTTTGAAAGTAAGAACTCTGCTTACTATCATTTGAAAATCTCTTTATTCTCAAACCTTCTGTGATTTAGCCTGGGGCTTAATTCACTGTACAGTAGTGATCAAGAAAATAAGCTTGAGTCAGGTTTGATTCTAGTTTTTACACCTGTTAGAACAAAAAAATCATTGACGAGAATAACATTGCCTGGCTGATTTGGCTCTAGAGATATATCATTTAAGACATCTTTGATGTAACTTCAGGAACTTCTCATCTGTGTATGACTTTTCAGGCCTAATATCTCTATTACTCTCAACTGAGCTAGGTACATATTAAAAATTAAATTAATTTGGAAGCAAAATAAAAAGAAGAGGAAGAGAGAAGAGAAAGGAGGTGATCAAACCCCATGCTTTTTCCCTTGCCAGTAGTCTAGGAGAATCTCTTTGGCTTTATTGCAGTCAGTAAATACCCTGCATCTGTCTCAGACACCACAGACCAGTTGATCAAGTATACGTATTTTCACAGGGTCCTCCATCCCATTTCCAGTTTGACAGTCAGTGGATCTTACTTAAGTGTCATAAGCTGCAGTGGAAAAAATTAAGTCAGTATATGAAGAGTATTAAATCAATGATACTCTTCTGAGTGGTTGTAGAAGTGGAGTTCTTTCTTAAGGCTGTTGTCTGGCACCTTGAATGCTTGTTTTGATTTGTGGCCTCACCACAGAATTGTTGTGAGCCAGTTCATCACTCTACCATCAAATCTTTTCACTGTAAAATGCAATGTGGCCTCCTCACCACGAGACTTAACCAGGGCCCAGCAACACTTCAGTTAGAGTCAATGGCACAAGAGGCTTCTGACCTCACTAAAGGCTAATATTAGGATCTTGCTATCTGTAAGGCTCTTTAAGAAACTCAGATGTAGGTGAAGTATAATAAGGGACAAAAAAAATTAAAAATGACTGAACATTGAGCTTGCTGAGTTTGCACTGCACATGGTCTGTCTGTAGATGCAGCACAATATAAAGAAGTAATTACTTAACTTTTTCAGAATGGGGCCGTAGTGGGAAAATAAATGCTAGGGAGTTCTGCTTTTTATACACAAAATATATACAAGTAGCAACTTTATGATCATTTTGTTACAGCTCTTAAAATGAGCCAGCGTGCTAGTCTTCCACCTGGTTCCTGTTCTTTTTTTGCTTATCTTGCATGCAAGTATTAAATGCCTCACAGTGAAGAGGCAAAATGCTAACCTAACACTGGAAGTTTCTCTCTAGTTTTGGGAAAATGGGCTATCTGCTAACCAGGGCTATTTCACAGCAAACTCCATTGTTCAGTAGATACTATCAGGGACTTGGCGACCATGCAGGAAGATACTGATGTATTTGCAGCCTTATGGGTTTTCATTTTTTTCTTAATGTTACTTTACTGCAATCTTTCAGTTCCCAATCTCCAAAAATTTCAGCTAATCAACAACTGGAAGTAAATGAATAGCTAGATGCACCCAAACCAAAAAAGCAGATTGAACTCAAAGGAAATTTTAATTTTAAGTGTATGTCTTGGACTGCTACCAGAAGCCCTTTAGAACGTCATTGTTCTTTGGGGGAAATTTGGTTGTGGACAAAAAGACCATTAATAAAGGCTGTCAAAACATCTGTTAAAAATCTGCAAGTTACAAAATATGCATTAAAAAGATAATTAAATATAGATGGTGCTGTTTAATGGTCTTCATTTTCTAGTTTGTAGACATCTTCATGGGGTAGTCTTAGGTCAGGTATACCACTGGCATTTTTAAGTTAAAAAAGGATAAACAAAGATGAAGACCAGCTATTCCCTCTCCCTTCTGCCTTTCCCAGTTCATACTAAGAGTGTACAGGAACAAGAAGTTTACCCTCTCTGGAGAGCAGAGGAGGAAAATGGTAGTTGTGAGTGAGGGAAAAAGAGCACATTGCTCTTCTGCTCAACTAAGAGGAATGCAGAAGACCTCTGCCCTTCTCTTCTTTCCGGGGGAACTGCCTCCTCCTCTGCTTAAGGCCCAGTGTGTGTCTTGTGTGTGTCTGCTTTCCAACTGTTCCTATCTGGAAAATAAGAATGTAATTTCCCTCCTTTTTGTCTTGGCTTAAAATAGTTTGTATCTCTACCAGCTGGGACATCTGTTCCAGGATGAGTACACCTGCGCTGGGTGCTCAGGTAGACCTGCTTACCTCCCCACTCCTCCTGGGGACATGCATTTAGCTTAAACTTAGGGTGAACCACTTACAAATGGCTTTGCCTGTGAATATTCATGGCCATTTGTATCAACTTCTTGACTAAGGGCACCCTGCCCCTTGACATGTAATCCCCCAAAAAGCTACTTGAAAGAAAACCAGTTAAGGTACCTATCCCTTCCATGTCCCTGCTGCTGGCTTTTGAGTTTTGGGGAATGTATTTTTCCTTACTGAACTTGTGTTTTGTGGTTTTACAACTGTGACTGCTATCTGGAAAAACAGGCTTGGCTTACTGACAGTGTAGGCCAGATTCTGCATTAGGGATTGTTTCTATTTTGGTCCGTGTTACCAAGTCCCTGAACTGTACAAGGATATCTGGCAGCAGCACCTTGTGAGGGACCAGCCTGGCTGGCTTTATAAAGGAAATGGTGAAGTGCATTTCAGGCAAAATAGATACAATGCAGGGTGTACTTAAAATGGAGTGATTTATACAGTTCACTTTTTGTTCTGATTGACAGTATGTTGGGAAGACTATAGCCTGAGGACTCAGAGCTATCATGTAAGGAGAAGGGGCAAATGTCCACACTGAATGCTCTTTAAGTAAATCTGATTTCTAACCCAACTGCAGCCCAGAAAGGACCAGACGGGGTCATCATTCCCAATAACTACTGTGACTTCTGCCTTGGAGGCTCCAATATGAACAAAAAGACTGGTCGGCCAGAGGAACTTGTATCATGCTCAGACTGTGGGCGCTCTGGTAGGTGGCTCCTTCTTGCATCTTTCTTGTACAAAGGCATTTGTGTGATTTGTTTTTTGCTCCTTCTGAAATTTTGAAGATAGGCAGCACATACGGGAGGGGATAGAAGATGAAGTCATACCTCTTGTGTGTGTTTGTGGGAAAGGGTGACTGGGAAATTTTCTATCATAAAACCCATTGTTGGATTCATATTTTTAAGCTAATGGGGTCTTGCAAGATAATGAAGGTTTAATATATTTATTGGCTTCTGTGAACATTGGTACATGTACTAGTTGTTCTTCAAATGGAAGGAGAAAATCCTATGACAATGTTAAAAAATGGTCTCTGTCTTCAAATGGTGCAATTACAACTATAAATTACTTACAAGATTTATTAAAGTTGCATGACAAGCATTTCCATTGATTGCACATTTCATGCATTTCTTCATCCAAAAAAAAAAAAAGGAGGAAATTACAGGGTAGGGATGGGGGTAGCTGTCAAGGATTATCCTCTTACAAGATGACTATCATTAATTTTGTTTAAAGAGGTTTTTTATTTCTCCATTTTCTTCTCTTCCCTCTATTTAAATGTAGGCAAGTGTGCCTTTCCCATTCTCAGTTGTCTCTATTTCTGGACTGTTGTTTTCTTCCTTCCTTTTTTTTTTTCTTTACCTTTTTCCTTGTTTCCTTTTTTCTTTTTCTTTTTTTTTGGCTTTGTTTTGTTTTCTTAAATTTTATCCCAGCTGAGCAGTTATTTATACCTTACATGGAAGCTGGTGGTGGGAATGAGAGACCTTTAACAACTGCATGTTCCAGTTTTGATCTAAGTTTCCAGTTGTGATATTTCTAGGCAATGGTGATATGAGTGGTGGTAAGACCATCAGATGGAAATCTGAAAACCAGAGAGACCTTGACATTCAGTACTGCTGCTGCTCCTTCTGTACTGTAGTCACTGAAATATGTCTGTTGCTTGATCGCTGAAATGCAATGTGGAGTGTTCTTGTGCCAAGGGAATGGCCTTCTTATGCTCCTGCTGAAATTCATAGTAAGCCTCTTACCACATTCAGTGGGAGCAGGGCAAGACTCTCACTGACAAATTGCCTTCTGCAGTTGTTGTGACCTCTGAAGATACTCTGATACGATACTGACTTGCCACCAGAGGACTGATGGCAACCCCTTTGGTATTCTTCAGGGGGGTCCTTATTAATGCTGTGCAGTCAGGGACATGAACCTTTTAGTATATATGTGTTTGCTTCTTAATAACTGAAGGGGGATACGCACGGGGTCTGTGGTGCCATCTTGGGAGGTCATTGCCCTTCCCCTTGATTGATATAGTTCAATATAACTCATTTCAGCATTGTCCTGATACGGCACTATAAGATGGATCCATTTTACTTTTTTTTTTCTGCTGTTTAAACATTGCCATGGTGATTATATCCAAATGAAACACAATTAATTTCCTTGATTCCTTAGTGTGATAGAACAAGAAGCATGTAACCTAAATTGTGCAAAACCAGTTCCATTAAATGCTATCCTTGTACAAATTCTGACCTATCTGGATCATTCATAGGAGTCTGCAATGATGTGACTGATGTGTGATGAAAGTGATAAAGGTACAACCACACTAATCTCTAAACTAAAGCAATGAAACCTCTTTGGTGGCTGCCATCTTTCTCTTTCTTGATAATGGAGAACATTTTCATTATACTGAAAGAGAGGTTGTGGAAATGATACTGTTTCTTCTGTTCACAGTCAGTAAAATCACATCTCTACAAGGTGGTTCATCTGCCAATCATTTTGTTATATCCATTTTCTTTTTGTAAGCAGGATTTAATTATTTGTGTCTCAAGCAATTCAGTGTACTTGTTATATGACTGATTCCTGTAGCTGGAGTGGGGACCAAACAGTTGGTTACTTAATACCATGCTACTGTTTCTGAACGCTAAAATAGCCATTTCCTAAAATCTCACACTCTCATTTTGCTGGGGTGCAAGAGACATCTTTTTCTCTTCCTTTCCTGAAGAGGGAATTTGAAAGCTGTACTATTAATCACATAACATGTTTGTTTGAGGGAGAAAATAAGTCTCAGTTTCACATATTTCAGTACATGACTTCTCTTTTTAATAGTTGTCTTGTTATTGTTGTTGTGGGTATTATGGATGTCCTGTGTGAAGAATTTCCTGTTCTATTGAAAGTTGGATTGACTCACACACATTTGAACTTTTCAGTGTTCCCCAAGATAGTTCACTTTGTATCTTAGTTGTTCTAGTTGTTGAAATCTATACATTTGTTTCGGTTTTGGTTTTTTATTTGTTAAGGAGATGCCATGAAATCAGAATAAAAGCATTTCTTTAGGTTACTTTCACTTAGTCTTCAAATTGTATTTCATTTTGTTGATAGAGGATGCTCTTTAGAATCAGGTGAAGGACAGGGACAAAAAGTAGTCCTGAGGTTGATGAGCTATCTAATGGGTTACATTTCTATAGTGGCAAACTTGTGATAGTTGATGCCAGTCTGAAGGACAATCATTGTGCTTAGAGCTAACAGTGTCTAATTACTTTTATGGTGTATAAGTCTTTTAAAATTGATCTAAGTAATCACAAGGAAATATGTTAATGTCTATTGAAGAGAGGAAAACTTGATTAACCCTTTCGCTGCCATAGCTGTGGGCACCTGTTGTTTGTAGACTTTTTTCCCTTGAAACTGATCCTTTTTTATTTTACTTACTGGAGTTCTACTGAGCTATGTTGTTGAGGTGTGGGCACAGACAAGCACACGCCTATGAGCTCAATAGTCTGTATTGTTTAATAGTAATGATGATTAAAAGAATGATGATGATGATGATGCCTGTTGCTTAACCCATGTGCTGATATATTCATCATACATGTCAGCTCATTTGGGAAGAGAAGGCAGGAGGGACGAAGCAGCGCCAGCACGCACTACGGAGGACTTGTTCGGTTCCACGTCAGAAAGCGACACCTCGACCTTTCATGGCTTTGACGAGGATGATGCAGAAGAGCCTCTCTCAAACCGAGGAGGTGGCTGTGGTGGCAGCTCTCCCTCTGCAGACAAAAAGGGCGGCTGCTAAAATAACTAAAAAGACACACAAACTTTGAAAGATTTGCTGTCCTTTTTACTACTAGGATTATTATCACCTTTTATTTTTATTTTTATTTTAATTTTAGGTCCTTTTTTTTTTTGTTTGGGTTTTTTTTGTTATTATTATTTTTGTTGTTTTTCCTGTGGGGTGTACACTGAAAGCACAAGCGTTTAAAGCTCTTGACAACTACTTTGAAGAAACAGAAGGTTTTGATTTTCCTGTTATGTTTTTCATTTTTATTTGTTTTTCTCCCACCTCCCCCCTTCTTTTTCTCTCTGGAGATGTAAAAGGTGGATTTAATATTTTTTTTAATAGTGAGCAGAGTTGATTTTCTTGTCTTTTAATATATATATCGGCAAACCACAAAAAATACAGATGGGCTGGGGAGCAGAGAGCAAACCCAAATAGTTTTTTTTAATTATTATTATTTATATATTCTATATATTATTAGAAAAACTACTTTTTAAATAAAAATAGAAAAAACCCACAAAAACAAAAAAGCAATGGATGTCTACTTGATAATAGAACTGTTCCTAGAGAACCAATGTGGGCGGACTCTATTGCGGGACAAAGAAACCCTTGATGTGATGGCTTCTGCATTTTGAGATTTTGCACTTACTGTAGCATGTGGAGTTTGGCTACACTTGTCTTTAACAGTCTGAAAACATAAGCAGCACCACTGAAAACCATAACCTTGGGGAACACATTTCCATCCCTCCTTTGGACACCTTTGCACTCAATAGATCTCTTCCTCCCTGAACCCCTTCATGTCTTCCTCACTCCGTTCTACTTTTTATTTTTTCCTTTTCCTCCACCTTTCACTTCATGGACAGCAATTTCCAAGAATAGGGATGGAATATGAATGGCAAATCATAAACGTCAAAGACAAAACAGATGGAAGAGCAGAATCATGGAAGAAATTACATGGAAAAATACCTCACCTGTACTTTTCTTTCCATTTTTAAATTTCAATTCACAGCATTTTTTCCTGTGTCGCCCAGTTTTTTCTCTCTTGTAGTGTCTTGTGGGACACTTTGTTTGCTTTTCAATAGCTTCTTTGAAATAAACCAAAGCAATACTAATTAAAGTTCCAAGGGCAATGGAGAAGAGTGGCTCCCTTCCCAGCGACTTTCCCAGAAAGGAGGAAACATGCAGCAGGATTTGAAAGGTATGTCCAAGCTGAAATGTCTTTTACTGAATTGTGAAATCTCTATGCCCTGGATTTTCAACAGACCCATGACTGGGCTTTGTTGTAGGACTAAATCCCACGGATTAAATTGGGTTACGAGTATGTGCCACATTCACACCTCTTGTGAAGTTAATTGAAGTTCTGTGGGAGCAGGATCCAGCCTGATTGTACAGTCAGAAGTGATTCAAAATGGATTAGTGTGTAGGTTGCATTTTGCTGTCCTAATGCAGTCAAAAATCTCCCTGAAGTGGGGGCAAGATTAGGTTCTAAATAAATATTTTTACTAATGTGTATAATACCAAAAATCATGACTTTATTTAAATTGAAGGCATCTATCTGGACAATGCCTAATCCTTAATCTGGAGCTGTGCTGTTTTAATGCCAGAATAAAAATCTCAGCCTTGCAATAAAGACTTTGAGTATATACTGTTTTAGTGCATGAATGATGCCTATCCAAATGGATTAAATTTCTCCTGTTTCTTTTGGTGGGGTAGCACAATACTGTCTGTGAGAGCTCTAATATTCAGCCCCGAAACCTTAAAAAAAAGAGAAAGGATCTAGTCTCTTAATTTTTTTTATTGTTCACTTAGGACATGGAATAAACAGTGGTCAGATTCTGCTTTTAGGTACATGGCTGTAAATCCAGAATACATGCTAAGTGATGTCTAGATTATGCTAATAATCTGCCTTCAGAATGCTATCACAAACAGTTATAAAATACCTCTGTGTGTTT